GAAAATACTAAGGGCAGCCAGAGAGAAAGGTCAGGTTACCCACAAAGGGAAGCCTATTAGACTTATAGCAGATCTCTCAGCGGAAACCCTACAAGCCAGAAGAGAGTGGTTAAAAGAGAGTTCTTTTAACTCCCAGAAGTTTCCTATCATCCACCTTCTGAAGCCTACTTCAGATAATGGAACACAGTCCTTTTCCATCAGGGCTTGTTCCGTTGCTGATGAGGAACTGCAATCCCCTGTAGAGGGAGAGGGGTTCTGATTGTGGGTATGCTCAGCCTTCTTAGGCTGGTTTTTTCCCTTTATTATAAATTTATCCATCTGTCATCTTTACAGTTACCGCCTTTCTAATTAGGTTTCTGAGTCGACGTCCAATTTATTGATTCCCAGTGCTGGGATCTGAGCAACCCACTGCGCCGGCCAAAATAGCAGTGATAAGACTGATGCTGCTCTTCTGCCCGGGAATCTCCAGTCTGGCTTCCTTCTTGAGTCCGCAACAAGCGGCTCTGCCTTCCTGGAGCTCCAAACATTGGTCAGTTGGGGAACCAGTCCCGTTTACTCTGCATGAAGAGCTGCCACGCCGAGGCGCCGGCAAAAGTGCTGTGCCAGCCACAAGAATCGTGCTGGCAACCCATGGGGCCCCTCCACTGGAAATCTGCTGGTATTTTTGTCATAGAGTATTCCAGAAAGTAGACTATTACATGGCAATAAAAGGAAATGGAGTACTGATGCATGCTACGACATGGATGAACTTGAAACATTGTAAGGGAAAGAAGCTAGTCACCAAGGGCCACATATTGTATGATTCCACTTACATGAAATGATTACAGGAGGAAAACCTATAGAGACAGAAAACACATTAGTGGCTGCCTAGCACCATGGGAAAATGATGAGCAGCTGCTAATGGGATTTCTTTTTGGAGGAATGAAAATGTTCTAAAGTTATTGTGGTGAAAGTTGTACAGCTCTGTGACTATATTAAAAACCACTGACTTGTCTACTTTATATGGGCAAATTGCCTGGTATGTGACTATATCTCCATAGAACTGTGATTTTAAAAATCCAACCTGAGAAGCTACTGACCACCTTGCAAGCTTGGGGCTGGGGATGACCTTGCAGTGCTCACAGTGGAACAGCGCTCCAGAAAAGGGGCCATTCAGTTACTTTACACTATCACAGCTCCTTCCAAATCAATCTGGTTTGCATTATTTCTAGGCTGGGAATAGTAAAGACAATCTTTTGAAAAGAAGTTGTTACTTAAATAAGTCTTTCCAAACTTAAAATTCTTGGCAGTTTGAACAGCTTTCTCTATAAGCAAAGAGATGGCTGCACTTTTAAGTCCCAGGCCTATTGCTCCACACTTAAAAGAATAATCACAGACATGCCAGAAACTCAAAGCAGCACATCTGGCTAAAAAACAAAACAACAAATGCTATTTTAGTTTTTCTTAATGAAAGTTACTAAGAAATTTTAAAGTTCTTTGAAGTTCTGGAAAGCAGCTTAGACCCTACACAAACCAGACAAGATACCATTGTTAGAGCAACTAGCGAAATTTTCTTCATTTTAAGTTCTAAAAGACATGACTTTTAACTGCTAGCCAGAACTTTATATACAATTGACATGGAAATCAACAGATCTGAAAACCTGAATCAGACATAGATAAAAATGAACAAAAATGGGAGAGAAAAAACCCAAATGAACCCGACATTGAGTAGCACTGGGTAGAACAGATGGCACTGAGTGCACAAATGGAGAATTTAATTATCCCACAAAGCACTAGGATCTTATTCCTATAGAGGCTATTTACTTCATGTGAGCTTCTCTTGAAATATTTGAGACTAGAGTCAAAGATCACTTTTCACACATGAGAGGAAACTGTACTCAGAGGTGTTGAGTGACTTTTGTAAAGTTGCATTGCTCAAATGTCGTATTATAAAATCATAATATGATGCTTATTAGGATTACCATATCATTCAGATTCCCCCATCATCATAATTGACTCCCTCAATTAAATATAAGGAAGAAACCAGGCCTATCACACCATGTTTATGTGTGTATTTTATAAATACCATCCACTGAGAGGAACAGGCTATTAAGAAGGGCTAACACTCTAGTGCTTGTAATAGACATAATGGTCCGTGTACCTACATGCACAGAAAAACAGATGTACAAGTGGGGTAGTTGTATAATGGTGGCTTGCTTGACCTAAATACCAAAGGACAAGTTTTAAGTAACTACGTCATTAAATATTAAAAAGTACCCACTAACGTTTTATCAATACAGTAGTTTCCCTCTTTAACTACAGTTTCAGTTACCTGTGGTTAACAACTGTTCAAAAATAGGTGAGTATAGTACAGTAAGACTTTGAGAGAGAGGGAAAGACCACATTCACATAACTTTATATTTTCATACACACACTCACACACACACACTCACACACATCTTTACCATCAGTACTTACCAAAACATATAAATAAGATGCATAAAGACGAAGAGTATTAGGAGCTGGGCAGACCAAGAAGCTTAATGAGGTAGACAGATAAATGGTGCAATAAAATATCACAGAACATTCCACACACCTTTGAGCTCCAAACAGAAAGGGACTGCGTGCAAGGTAAGGACTGTTAAATTAGCTCATGTCCATTTGAAAAGGAGACTACGTTGGATATTGATCAGTACCTAGAAAGTCCTGACTCTACCTGACAGATGACTGCCATGTCTTAACTAGAAGCTATTAACAAAATGACATTGACTGTGCTCTGGGTAATAATAAATTATATCTAAGTTTCACTTTTGTTTCTAAAGCTAATTTAGCAGCATATTAAAAGAGTCCAGGGCTTTATTATGAAATAAACAGAAAAAGATTACATTGAGACCAAAAGAGTTAAGACAAGTACAATACCCGACTGAAGGAGTGGTAATAGATATTGGTCTAAGACAGTTACTAAATAGAAACATGTCTAAACTACAAAATCAGTAATTTAATGAAACATTTTAAAGCAATCACAAAATTTCAAGTCCTATGCTCTAATGCAGATGATCTCATTTAATATCCTTCACAACTCTGGCTAGGTGTGGTGGCTCATGCCTGTAATCCCAGCACTTTGGGTGGCCGAGGTGGGGGGATCACTTGAGGTCAGGAGTTGGAGACCAGCCTGGCCAATATGGTGAAACCCCCTCTCTGCTAAAAATGCAAAAATTAGCTGGGCATAGTGGCACGCATCTGTAACCCTAGCTACTTGGAGGCTGGGGCAGGAGAATCGCTTGAACCCAGGAGGCAGAAGTGGCGGTGAGCCAAGATCATGCCATTGCACACCAGCCTGGGCAACAAGAGTGAAACTCCATCTCAAAAAAAAAAAGAGAAAGAGAGAAAGAAAAGAAAAAAAAAGAGCCAGTGTCCAGCGTGCAAGAGGAAATTGCTAGAACACTAGTCAGAGAGCTGGTACAGGCCTCCACCTGGTGGACAATCTTGGCATGAATCTCCTACCAGGAAAATAATTGATGTTTTCTTCAGTCTTCTGTCAGATGGAAGAAAGCATTTTCTTTTTTTCTTTTTTGGTTCTGTCACCAGGCTGGAGTGCAGTGGCACATCTAGGCTCACTGCAGCCTCCAACTCCCTGGTTCAAGGAATTCTCCTGCCTCAGCCTCCTGAGTAGCTGGGATTAGTGGCACCCACCACCATGTCCAGCTGATTTTTGTATTTTTAGTAGAGACAGGGTTTCACCATATTGACCAGGATGGTCTCGATCTCCTGACCTCGTGATCTGTCTACCTCGGCCTCCCAAAGTCCTGGGATTTTAGGCTTGAGCCATCATGCCCGGCCTCTTATGTTTTTAAAAACACTTCATTGAAAAAAATTCATATAGCATACAACTTCCCCATTTAAGGCATATGATTCAATGGCTTTAATATATTCACAAATCCTTTCTTTTTGTGTGTAGATACCACAGTTTCTTTGTCTATTCACCTGTTGATGGATACTTAGGTTGATTTCGTCTTGCGGCTGTTGTGAATAGCGCTGCAATAACATGGGAGTGCAGATGTGTGTTTGACATACTGAGTTTCTTTCTCATGGGCATGTGCCCAGCAGTGTCACTGCTGAATCACGTGGTAGTTCTATTTTCAGTTTCTTGAGGAACCTCCATGCCTTTTCCATAGCGGTTAGACTGTCTGACATTCCCACCAAGAGTGTCTGAGAGCTTCTGTTTCTGTGTCCTTGTCGGCATTTGCTGTTTTCTGACTTTTTGATAGTCGGCATGTTAATGGAGGTGAGATGATATTTTACTGTGGTTTTGATGTGGATTTATGTGATTAGTGAGGTTGAACGTGTTCGCATATACCTGTTGGCCATTTGTATGTCTTCTCTTAGGAAATATCTGAGACGGTTTTTTTTTTGGCCAATGCTGTCGTTTATTGCGTGGAATGGGAGTGTGGGGGTTAGTGGGGCATGGGGGCCACGGTGGGGGCACTGCTGCCTTGGCTGGTCAGTCCATTCTTCATGGTGGCGGGATCCCAGCCTCACCCCTGGCCCGCCTCTGGGTGCTGGTGCTGGAGGGAGCCGGGGTGCTGCTCCTCAGGTCACCACGGATGCTCATGGACTGGGGCTGACCTGGTTATTGCCTGAGCATGATGGGGGCAGCTGGGAGTCTGTGGGCCAAGTATTGCACTTATAAAACAATCCTCATTGGACCACAGGCCACCTAGAGGGCAGGGGCGGACAGGGCTCAACAGCTGGCTTCTCTGGGCCACTGGGCTGCCCCGTCCCTGTTTTACAGTTAGGGGAACTGAGGCTCTGAGGTGAAGGGAGCCCCTTGCATGTGAGGTCGCAGCTGGGGACAGGGGCAATGGGGGTGGGTACAGGGCGATGAATGGGGACAGCCAGGGGCTCGAAGGGGCTGTCCCACTGCCCAGCTGTTCAGTCCAACTAAGGCTGGCATATGTCTGGTCTATGGCTTCTGGGTGGCCTGGCTGCCTGGGCAGTGCAATGTCAGGGCTTTGGTCTGGATGACCACCTGGATGACAGCCTCATCCCCGCCCACCTGGCCCTACAGGGCTGTTGGCGAGGGTCACAAGTTGGACAAGAGGCACGAGCCCACAAAGTCCTGGGGGTCCAGGCTGCCACATGCCTGGTGAGACCGAGTCCCTTCAGTTCCTGCTGGGTGCAGAGGCCCAGGCAGCAAGCATGGGCCCTAGGCGTGGCATGGAGCTTCTGACTGGACTGGAGGAGGCCATGGGGCCAGGCATGCCGTGGCTCTTGTCCATATGGAATTATTTGGGATTTTTGTTTTTGAGTTTTTTTTTTTTTAAATCACTCTGTCACCTAGGCTGGAGTTCAGTGGCACAATCTCGGCTCACTGCAACCTTCACCTCCCAGGTTCAAGTGATTCTCCTGCCTCAGCCTCCCTAGTAGCTGGGGATTACAGGCACTTGCCACCATCCCTGGCTAATGATTTGTATTTAAGTAGACACACGGTTTCACTATGTTGGTCGGTTTGGTCTAGAACTCCTGACCTCAAATGAGCTGCTCGCCTTGGCCTCCCAAAGTGCTGAGACTATAGGCACGAGCTCCTGCTCCTGGTTCACTCTGTTTCTATTTAATTTTAATGTTTTAAGATTTGTTTTCTGTGAGGAAGCTTTTTAGCTTGATATAATACTATTTATCACTTTTTGCTTTCGTTGCCTGTACTTTTGATGTCTTACTCAAAAAATCTTTGCCTAGGCCAGTGTTCTAAAGCATTTCCCCAGTGTTTTCTTCTAGTAGTTTCGTAGTTTCCTTTTCTGTTTTTCTTTAAGACAGAGGCTCACTCTGTTGCCCAGGCTGGAGTGCAGTGGGACGATCTCATCTCACTGCAACCTCCACCCCTCCAGGTTCAAGCGATTCTTCTGTCTCAGCTCCCTGAGTAGTTGGAATTACAGGCATGCGCCACCACGCCCATCACTTTTGTATTTTTAGTAGAGATGGGGTTCTCCGTGTTGGTCACGCTGGTCTCAACTCCCAATCTCAGGGCATCTGCCGGCCTTGGCCTCCCAAGTGCTGGGATTACAGGTGTGAGCCACTGCACCTGGCCTAATTTTTGTATTTTTAGTAGAGACGGGGTTTTATCATGTTGGCCAGGATGGTCTCCAATGCCTGATCTCGGGCCATCCATCTGCCTCAACCTGGGCTGGGATTACAGGCGTGAGCCACCACACCCAGCCTGTAGTTTCTTAAATGTAAGTTTTTAATTAATTTTGATTTGATTTTTATATATGGTGAAGCATAGGGGCTAGTTTTATTCTTCACATGTAGGTATCTCTCATTTTCCCAGCACCACTTACTCAAGACACCATCTGTTCCCAAGGTATGTTCTTGGCACCTTGGTGAAGAACAAGTTGGATGTAAATTCAGGGATTCATTTCTGGCTTCTCTATTGTGTTCCACTGGCCCATGAAATCCTTCCTTTTTGATATTATAAAGTCCCCATTTTCCCATTTCCATCCTGCCAACCTTGCTGTGTTTGGGCCAAACAGGGCCAGTAGAACCCAGAACTTGATGTGGACTGGTGAGGCCAGAGCCTCGTTAGGCAGCTCAAGAAATCTGCGCTCAGGTCCTTGGTCTGCAGGGAGGACCAAATCTCCATCGATGACTCCTCAATACACTGCTAGGGAAACCACAGTGTGAAACAGCTTGAGAAATAGAATCTATGCCAGATCCAACATTTCCTCACACTCACGATTTCATGACTGGGACATTCAAGCAGGAGGGACCAGAAGAGCACCCTCTTCACCTGCATGCCCAGGTCCTCTTTGGGTCATCGAGGGCATGAGGCTGGAAGCAGGGGTGTCTGGGATAGGTGCAGGCTATGGTCAGGGGCAGCGGGGCTGGTGGGCGCTGGGCAGTGGTGATAATGGTAGTGAAAGGTCTAGGGCAGGGCAGAGATCAGGAGGAACAGCACTCCAGCAGGGTTCAGAGACAGGTCAGTAGGGCAGCAGACACAGGAGCAGATGGCCTGGGACTCAGAGGAGCAGCTGGAGTTGGAGGAGAAGGGCCCTGTTTTCCTCCAGTCTTGCTCTGGGCGCTGCAAATAGACTCACTCTCTGAATCTTTGAACCCCTTCCTTCAATCCCAGCATGCACCTTTTTTTTTTTTTTAATTGAGACAGAGTTCAGAGTTGTCGCTCAGGCTGGAGTGCAATGGCATGATGTCAGCTCGTTGCAACTTCCACCTCCCATGTTCAAGCAATTATTCTGCCTCAGCTTCCTGAGTAGCTGAGATTAGCGGTGCACACCACCATACCTGGCTAATTTTTGTATTTTTAGTAGAGACAGGGTTTTGCCATGTTGGCCAGGCTGGTCTGGAACTCCCGACCTCAGGTCATCCGCCCACCTCGGCCTCCCACCGTGCCCAGCTGCAGCACGCACCTTCTTAAGGACAGTTTCTTTCTGGATTCTTTTTAAGCTTCTGATTTCTAATCCTTCCTAACTCAGCTCACGCCCCCCACCCCCTGCCCTCCATTCTGCCTCACTTTCTCCTTTCCTGATTCCCACCATTTCCCACAATCAGTCCTGGCCTCAGATTCCCGCCCTTCAGGTTCCAGTGTTCCTTGGGTCCTCCCTCTCCCCTGATCGTCTCTGATTAGGGGTGGGGGTGTGAGGTGGAATTAAAGCCAGCCTCGACTGGAGTCCTGGGCTGGATTCTGCACTGTGCTCCGCTGTGTCATTGCACCTTCTCGTTTCTGCTCTTTCTGCTGCTTCATCCTCTTCATGCTCTAACCCCCCCAGCGGATGCTGACCCTGCCCGTGGAGCGCACTCCTTCCCCGCTGCTGCTCCTCCAGCTCCATCTCTCCACCTTCGGCTCCTGGCCTTTCCTGGCCCAGGGGCCCGAGCTCTGAGTTCCAGACCTTTTCCGGGGCACTGTCCTGCTCCTCCTCGTCACCTCAGGGCAGTGGCCGTGGGCTCCTCCTCCAGCTGCTGCGGGCCTGGGCGAGCCGGGTCAGTGTCGCGGTGCCGACAGTGCAGTTCCCGCCCCGGGGTGGCAGCAGCAGGTGTAGTGCCCGCGGCACCCCATGGAGGCTGGTGTGGGCGCCGCCTGGAGGCTGGTGTGGGCGCTGCCTGGAGGTTGCTGTGGCGCCCCCTGGAGGTTACTGTGGCGCTCTTTGGTGCCCAGCGCCCAGACTGGGTCTTCCCGGCTGCGTCGCTGCTGCCCCCTACCGGGGTGGCGGGGCCAGGGTTCCACGCGGCTTCATCTTGATTTGCCTTCGCTCCTCCCGGAAGTCAGCGGTGCCGCCCCGGAGGCTGCTGCTGTCCAGGTCGCCATATTCCCCGCGGGACCGGCTGGGCTCTGGCCTCAGGCCGCCCACCCCGCTCCAGCCGCCGCCGCCTCTGCCTCGCAGCTGCGAGAAGAGGAGATGGAGCGACCTCCAGGCACCGGGAGGCCGCGGCTCCCACAGCAACCGGCGGGACTGAGGAGAAAGACGCCGGGAAGCGGAAGGTTCTCGCCGGCCCGAGGGTCGCTTTGGGCTGCACCCCTTGGTTCCTGCCTGCGAGCAGCTGCTGGGACCCTCCCTGCCAAGTTGCTCCCCGAAAAGCTCCAGGGCTCTCGGGTCTGCAGGGAGGGACACTTTCCCCCTCACTGTGAGTCTGCAAACTCGGAGCCGGGCGGACCGCGAGGTCAGGAGATTGAGACCAGCCTGGCTAACGCGGTGAAACCCGCCTCTACTAAAAATGCAAAAACCAGCCAGGCGTGGTGGCACACACCGGTGGTCCCAGCTACTCAGAAGGCTGAGGCCGGAGAATCGCTTGAACCCGGGAAGTGAAGGTTGCAGTGAGCCGAGGTCGCACCACTAAACTTCAGCCTCGGCGACAGAATGAGACTCCGTCTCAAAAAAAAAGACACAGGTAAGGATGTGCACTCATAAGACAGTCATCTGTATTCTGCCCTGTGGTTTATGAGCTGTCGTGGCTCTGGAATAGTCTCTGTTACATAGACTCTGCCCAAACCAATCGGACCTTTTCTAAAAAAAAAAAATTTTTTTGAGAGGCGGAGGTAGAGGAAAAAAAATTTTTTTTAGTTTTAATTAAATTTTTTACCCCCCAAAGACAGGATCTCACTCAGTCGCCAGGCTGGAGTGCCGTGGCGCTATTACAGCTCGCTGCAGCTTCAGACCTGTGGGATTCCACCTTGGACCTGTCTCTGCCCCCTCAGTGGCTAGGACTTTAGGCATGCCCCACCACACCCGGCTCATTTTTAAAAATTATTTTTTGTAGAGATGAGGATCTTACCATGTGCCCAGGCTGGTCTCCAACTCCTGGAGTCGACAGGTTCTCTTGCCTCGGCCTCCCAGAGTGTGGGGATTATAGGCGTGAGCCACTGAACCTGGCCCAGACCTTTTCTTGTTAGAAGTCTGGACTTTGCTCCCGGTTAAAAGGGACATTCCCACTCCTGTAATTCCCAGTCTCCTTTAACGGGACAGATAAAAATGTGTTTTTCTGATAACAGAACTTCAAAATATATGAAGCAAAAATGTGCAGGAAAGGAGACATAGACAGATTCACCATCATATTTGGGGATTCTAACACCCTAAACATGTATTAAGGATATAAAAAATCTAAACACTGTCAACCAGCTTTTGCTAATTGACATAAATAGAATACTACCTTCAGTGACTATTAAAAATGCTCTTGGCCAAGCACGGTGGCTCACACCTGTGATCCCAGCGCCTTGGGAGGCGGAGGCGGACGGATTGCTCAGGAGCTGGAGACCAGTCTGGCCAGTGTGGTGAAACCCCATCTCTGCTAAAGATACAAACAAATTAAGCAGGCATGGTGGCGTGAACTTGTAATCCCATCTGCTGGGGAGGCTGAGGCAAAGGGAGGTGGAGGTTGCAGTGAGCCGAGATTGCACCAGCTGTGCAACAGAGCGAGACTCCGTCTGAAAAAAAACAAAGTTTTTTTTTGACTATACAAAAAGTATTTGCCAAGAGAGACCTTGTACTGAGTCCAAAAATAAGTCTCTTGGCCGAGCAGGGTGGCTCACGCCTGTAATCCCAGCACTTTGGGAGGCTGAGGCAGGCGGATCACAAGGTCGGGAGACTGAGACCATCCTGGCCAACATGATGAAACCCCGTCTCTACCAAAAATACAAAAAGAAATTGCTGGGCATGGTGGTACATGCCTGTAGTCCCAGCTACTCAGGAGGCTGAGGCAGGACAATTGTTTGAACCCAGGAGGCTGAGATTTGCCACTGCAGTATAGCCTGGGCGACAGTGAAAGATTCTGTCTCAAAGAAAAAAAAAAGAAGTCTCTTAATACCAGCTGATGGAAATGTTATGGAGTATTCTGTTCTCTGACAATGCTGTAATTAAATTAGTAATCAATAATAAGATGACTAGAAAATCTCCAAGTGCTTGGGAATTAAATAGCACACTTCTTTATTATCCATGTGTCAAAGATTAAATCACAAGCAATCTTAGAAAACATTTGAAGTGAATGATAACAAAAACTGAAATTCATGGAATACACCTAAAGCAGCTATGGGGAAAATCTTCATATTAAAGGCTTACTGTAAGAAAGAAGACAGTTTTAAAATCAACCAATCATCTAAACCAGGAGTTGATAGACTTTTTCTGTAAAGGTCCAGGTAGCAAATATTTGAGGCTTTGAAAGTCATATAAGTCTGTCACATATTCCCCCCAACCCCAACCATTTAAAAATATAAAAACCAGACTGGGTGCAGTGGCTCACATCTGTAATTCCAGCACTTTGGGAGGTTAAGGTGGATGGATTACTTGAGACAGGAGTTTGAGACCAGCCTGACCAACATAGTGAAACCCCATCTCTACTAAAAATGCAAAAGTAGCCAGCGTGGTGGCGTGTGTCTCTAATCCCAGCTACTTGGGAGGCTGAGACAGGAGAGTTGCTTGAATCTGAAAGGCAGAGGTTGCAGTGAGCCAAGATTGCCCCACTGCACTCCAGCATGGGTGACAGAGTGAGGATTCATCTCAAAAAAAAAAAAAGTAAAAAGGCATTCTTAGGTGGGAAGCAATACGTAAAGATCATGGGCATGATTTAGTAGTTTGGCAAACCCTGATCTGTGCTTCCATCTTAAGATTCTAAAAAAGAAGAATAAATCAGGCTGGGTGCGGTGGCTCACGCCTATAATCCCATCACTTTGGGAGGCTGAAGCGGGTGGATCACGAGGTCAAGAGATCGAGACCATCCTGGTCAACAAGGTGAAACCCCATCTCTACTCAAAATACAAAAATTAGCTGGGCATGGTGTTACGCGCCTGTAGTCCCAGCTACTCGGGAGGCTGAGGCAGGAGAATTGCTTGATCCCAGAAGGCGGAGGTTGCAGTGAGCCGAGATCGTGCCATTGCACTCCAGTCTGGGTAACAACAGCAAAACTCCATCTCAAAAAAGAAGAATAAATCAAACGGAATGAAAGAGGTAAAGATAATAGTCAATTAAATAAAAAAGGGGCCAGGCACAGTGGTGCATACCTTAGAGGCCAAGCTGGGCAGATCGCTTGAGCTCAGAAGTTTGAGACCAGCCTAGGCAACATGGCGAAACCTTATTTCTTTTTCTTTATTTTTTTGAGATGGAGTCTTGCTCTGTCACCCAGGATGGAGTGCAGTGGTGCGATCTTGGCTCACTGCAACCTCTGTCTCCTGGGTTCAAGCTATTCTCCTGCCTCAGCCTCCTGAGTAGCTGGGATTACAGGCGGGTGCCACCATGCCTGGCTAATTTTTGTATTTTTTTTTAGTAGAGACAGGGTTTCGCTAGCGAAACCTTATTTCTGCAAAACAAAAGCCTGGCACTGTGGTGCATGCCTGTAGTCCCATCTACTTTGGGGGCTGAGGCAGGAGAATTGCTTGAGCCTGGGAATTCGAAGCTTCAGTGAGCCATGTTAATGCCACTGTGGTGTGGTACACACAGGACACTGAAGCACGCACTCACTGAGGCAGCGGGATGTGCACACGCACACTGGATCATGTGTACATGCACAGACCCACACAGACACAGGCTCACACCAAGGCACAGGGACACAAGAACGCACAGGGACATGCACACACATGCTGGATCGTGTGTACACAGACCCACATACACTGATGAAGGCTCACACCAAGGCACAGGGACACACAAACACAGGGACATACACATGCTGGATCATGTGTACACACACTTGTGCAGGCTCACACCGAGGCACAGGGACACCTGGACACATAGGGACATGCACACACATGCTGGATCATGTGTCCACACAGAGACCCCCACACACACTGATGGAGGCTCACACTGAAGCACACAGATACACAGGTATACAGGGACATGAACACACATGCTGGATCATATGTTCACACATGGACATGCACACACAGGATCACACCGAGGCACAGGCATATGTGCACACTGTCGTGTTCACACACAGACCTGTATACACATTGACACAGGCTCAGGGGCACACAAACACACAGGGTCATGCACAAACATGCTGCATCATGTGTACACACACAGACACACACAATGATGCAGGCTCGCACCAAGACAGGCTCTCCCAGGACATCTTCATGGGGGAATGCAGGGACACACACACACACACATACACACACTCACTCTCTCTGAGATATACACACCAAGACTTATACCTGGAGATGTAGATATACACCCCAATGTGTGCACATGTGAACACATAGTGGCATGTGTGTGTACATACAGCAGGACACTCACACAATGGGACGTGTGAAGACAGCCACCCACACCTGGACACATGCATGGGCATACCATGATACACTGGGCTGTGTGTGGGCACACACAGCACACACACACATACAGACACCTGGATACATGGGCATGTGCACACACCCACTGGGACACACAAGATGCCCACATGGGGACTCATGTGCACAGGTCTCCACCAGGAAACACGCGTTCTAGGGTTCTTGAGTGCATGGAGACACCTGCACACCCGCATGGGAACATACACACCCACAAGCACTGGGATTCCACAGCACACACCGACATGCATGCACACACATGCTCATGTTCACACTGTCACACAGTGTGTTCACAGTCTAGCATAGTCACGCAGACCTGGTGAAGATTCATGAAGCCAAGGAAGGAATAGAGCTGGGCAGGCTGGGCGTGGTGGGCGTGGTTGCTCACACCTATAATTCTAGCACTTTGGGAGGCAGGTGGATCACCTGAGGTCAGGAGTTCGAGACCAGCCTGGCCACCATGGCAAAAGCCTGTCTCCACTAAAGATACAAAAATTAGCTGGGCGTGGTGGCAGGCGCCTATAATCCTAGCTACTCAGGAGGCTGAGGCAGGAGCATGGCTTGAACCCAGGAGATGGAGGTTGCAGTGAGCTGAGATTGTGCCACTATATTCCAGCCTGGGTGACAAGAGCAAGACTCCATCTTGGAAAAAAAAAAATGGGAGACAGAGCTGGATGGAGATTTTATTTCCCCACAGCTGCCAAGCATTCTCTGTTCTAGGGTGATGTGGGTCTAGCACAGAGGCCACTGTTCGCACCCAGTGCCCCAGGGCCAGATTTTAGGAGTGAGCCCAGAATTTTCATTTTGAGAAGCAGTGAGTGTTGGGGTCATGCATGGCCTGGGAGCCAGACCCTTCTGGGTTAAATCCCAATTCTACCATTTACAGCTGGGCTACCTGAGGCAAATTCCTTACCTTTCTGAGTCTCAGCTTCCTCATTTGCAAAATGGAAATGATAAGAAAGGCGAAGTGTCTGACGTTTTATCAGCAGAATCTGGCTTGTAGTGAGTAGTTTGCTTATTAAGATTTGTTGGCCGGGCGAGGTGGCTCACACCTGTAATCTAAGCACTTTGGGAGGCCAAGGTGGGTGGATCACCTGAGGTCAGGAGTTCAAGACCAGCCTGGCCATCATGGTGAAACCCCAACTTCAAAAAAAAAAAAAAAAAAAGATTTGTTGGTCTAGGCCAGGTCCAGTGGCTCATGCCTGTAATCCCAGCACTTTGGGAAGCTGAGGCAGGCAGATCACTTGAGCCCAGGAGTTTGAGACCAGCCTGGCCAACATGGGGCAAAACCCCATTGCTAGAAATAAAAAAAATTAGGCATGGTGACGCACGCCTGTAACCCCAGCTACTCTGGAGGCTGAGGCAGGAGAATTGCTTGAATCCGGGAGGCAGAGGTTGCAGTGAGCTGAGATGGCACCACTGCACAGTCCAGCCTGGATGACAGAGCAAGACTCTGTCTCAAAAAACAAACAAACAAATTGTAAACTGTTGGTCTGATTTGTCTGAGGGGCCTGGAGGGGCCAGCTATGTCCCGAGCCCTCTCTCCTGTTTGCCCCCCTTTCGTTGAAGCCTTCAGTGCCCTGGCGTGAGAGTAGCTGGGCATCTGAGTGGTGGCTCCGTCAAGCTGCTGGAGTGACCCCGGGAGGACTCTGCCTAGGCCTAGTGGTTGCTGCTGAGTGGTGTCCACAGGAGATGAACCCTGGTTGGACTGGGTGGGTGGGGCTCTAGCAGTCTCCTGCTCCCCGGAGCCAGACCCAAGAGGTCCAACTTGCATTTCAGGGCAGGGCAGGAAGACGAGGTGTGGGACACAGATGCTCAGAGAAGAAGGAAGGTCTTTTTTTTTTTTTGAGAGAGAGAGAATCTTGCTCGTCGCCCAGGCTGCAGTGCAGTGGCACAATCTTGGCTCACTGCAACCCCAGCCTCCTGAGTCTGGGATTACAGGTGTGTACCACTGACCCCAGCTAATTTTTGCATTTTTAGTTGAGACGGGTTTCGCCATGTTGGCTAGGCTGGTCTTGAACTCCTGAGCTCTAGTGATGCTCCCGCCCCAGCCTCCCAGATGTCTGGGATTACAGGTGTGAGCCACCTCACCTAGCCTACAGGCAAGGTCATGATGTTCCTCTGAAGGGGCCCATCACAGGATCCTCACTGGATTTGTAAGCTGAGGGTTAAATGCGGCCATTTCAAAAATTAAATGATTGAAGTTGTAAGTAGACAAATGGTATTAAAAACAAAGGCAGTGGTGAACTCGCTGCTCTCTATGATCTTGCTACGTCACACTCCATCTACGTTCTTGAGGTTATTGATATTCAGGGCGGTCCTGGGGGGCACTGACCAGTAGCGGGCACGGTGGCCTGGGGGCCCTCTCCAGCCCCCTCTCATCTTATGCCTGGAAGTGGGTGATGCTGTTTAAAGGACACTGGCTGGTGTGGGTGGCAGGGCCTGGAGGTGTGGCCCAGCTCTCCTGGGTTCCGTGTCCCTGCTGTGCACAGAGGGATGATAGCATCTTCTTGGGCATCCCCCAGTCCTGGGAGAGATGGCTTCTCTCTTGCGTGCCTTCGAAGATGGGAGAGGCGAGCAGGCTGACACGAGCTTGCTTTGTGAGTTGATCGCAAAGAGGACTTCGGTTTTGTCTCTTACGCATCCCACTTGTACTGGGAGGCAGACAGCAAGTGGAACGTGGTAGGGAACCCTGGACAAAGCATCAGACCCCGCCCAGAGGCCAGAATACTGGTCATCTAGCCCTGCACTGTCAACATTTGGGGTTGGATAATTATTTGGGGAGAGGGGACTGTTCTGTGTGTTAGAGGATCTTTAACAGTGAGCCTGGCCAGTAGTGGCCCTCCCTTCTCTCCACCTGTGACACCAAAGTATCTCCAGACATTCCCAAACATCCCTGTCCCCAGTTTAGTGGGGGACTCGGCTCTGCATTGTTCTGAAGTGCCCAGGTGAGTGGGGGTGAGGCCTGTGAAGGGAGCTTATCACCTTCTCAGGGTGGGAACCGGTTTCTGTCCCCAGCCGCTGCTCCAGACACCGCAGGCCAGCCCCGGCGCCTTCCTGGGTATCTCAGCCCTGGTGCACAACTTCTGTGCTTCTCTGGATGGGCCCTGTGGGCAGCTGCCTGGAGTCGGCTCCCTAGTGAGCATCCTGGGAGAGGCCTTGGGTGAGAACTGTACCTTCCGGGAGCCCTCAGAAACTGACAAGGTGAGGACATCCAGTGACCTGGGTATCGGGTCCAGTTCTCCCATTGGGGCTCAGGCCAAGCAGGAAAGCCCCAGGTGGAGAGGGTGGGGTAGGTTCCCCCTTTCCCCCCATTCTCTCCTTTCCCCCTTGCCCCCCCCATTTCCCCCTGGATGGATAATGGGTGTGTGGATGGATGGGTGGGGGTGGGTACCTGGCTATGGAAGAAGCCAATAGGTATTGAGGGAGTCACAGTATGGGGAGGTGGCTTGCTTAGGAAGGGGCCCAGGAACACCAAGACATTTAAAGACTGTCCATGTGGCAAGACACTCTGCTGTTTTGTAAATCATTTTATTGGAATGTAGCCACGCCTTCCCCCCATTTCCCCCATTTCTCCCCAAATCCCTCCTGCCTCTCATTCCCCCTGCCTCCTGTTTCCCCCTATTCCCCCATCCCCATTCCCCCACCCCGTTTTCCCCATTCCCCCCTGCCCCTTGTTCCCCATTCCCCCTGCCCCTTGTTCCCCTATTCTCCCCATTCCCTCGCATTCCCCACTGCCCCCTCATTCCCCCATTCCCCCTGCCCCCATTCCCCCATTCCCCCTGTCCCTTTTCCTCCACCCCCTTTTATACCTGCCCTCTTCTCCCTCCTATTCCACCATCCTCCCCATCCCCCTGCCCTGCCCTGCCCTGCCCTGCCCTGCCACTGCACCTCATGGTCCTGCCTCCATCTTGATTTAGCTCCAGCTTGTGCTGAAGGTGATCGGCAATGCGGGCTTGGCAGCCATGGCTCTCACCCCCACACTCAGTGCCTGTGCGTCTCTGCGAAGCAACACCCCCGAAATCCAGCTGGGTGCCATCCAGGCCTTCCGGAGGGTCCCCTGCTCTGTAGACGTGAGCCCTTGTGTGTTTCACTGGGTGGGGTTGGGTGGTGGTGGGTCTCTACCCACCATTAGCTAATTCACTTCTTCAACTGTTCGTTTACTCATCATGTATCTAATGAGCACCTACTTTGGGCTGGGTACTAGTGTGAGCAGGTATCCAGGTCTAAGCCTGTGTCTAGTGTGGGAAGCAGATTATTCATCAAATGCACGAATAACCATATAATTACTAATCCATGCTCCCTCTAGTACAGGGTTTGGCAGACTATGGGCCATGGGCCACTTCCTGGCCCTCTTTGTCTGTATTTGTCAATAAAGTTTTATTAGAACACAGCCATGCTCATTTATGTGCTGTCTATGGCTGCTTTCCTGCTTCACCTGCAGAGCTGAGTCATTGCAAGAGACCGAATGGCTTGCAGAATCTGAAAGAGTTCACTGTCCCTTTACAGAAGAAATTTGCTAATCCCTGGGCCAGTACCTTCTTTCTTACTCGGAGTCAAAGTCACAGTCCCTTCATCGACCTCCCGGTCCCTGAGGGACTGACCTCTGGGCCTCACCTGCTCCTTTCACCTCTCACCCCTCCTCCGCAGCACATTCCTCTCTCTGTTCTTCCTCAAACACTTGTGACCCTCTCTTGCGCCAGGCCCATTGGACATGCTGTCCCCTTTTCTGTACACTTTTCCCCCAGATGTCCCTTTCTTTCTTACCTCCTGTGGGCCTTAGCTTAAAAGTCACTTTCTCTGTGAGGTCTCCCTTGACAATTTCACCTGAAATTGAACCTCCCAGTTCCCCCATGGCTCTGGTCCTGTTTCCCCATTTCATTTTTCCCTCCACAGGGTTTATTACCACCTAACTTTTTATATATTTCACATGCTAATCTCATTGACTGTCTCCCTGCACTAGAATGCCAGCTTCAGGTGGACAGGGGCTGGGTTGGTCTTGCTTATGGCTGTCACCTAGCACAGTGCTGGGTACACAGTTGCTGCTTAGTTAATATTTGTTACATGGATGAATGGGCGGATGGATTAATGATGGGTGAGTGGATAGATGATAGGTGGGTGGGTAGTTGGATGGGTAGATGGGTGAATGAATAGATGAGTGAGTGAGTGGGTGGGTGGGTGGGTAGCTGACTGTGGAGGAAGCCAATAGGTACTGAGGGAGTCACAGTATGGGGAGGTGGCTTGCTCAGGAAGGGGCCCAGGAATGGCAAGACATTTAAAGACCCCCCATGTGGCAAGACACTGTGCCATCTTTGTAAATAGTTTTATTGGATTGTAGCCATACCCGTTTGTTGGGGAACTGATGAGGCGCTAGGCTGGGGCTGGTAGAGACTGGGAATTAGGCATGATCAGTGAACTCCTGCTACCTCCCACAACTGGGCCACAGGTGAGAGTATGTCAGGGAAGCCTCCTACGGTGGTGATATCAGGATAGCTGGGGCTAGGCAGCACGTTCACCTGCTGGAGCCAGGAACATCATCCTCCTGGGTGGAGGTAGGTGGGCCTTTGGTGATGGCCTGTCTTCTGCCCAAGCCAGCGATCAGTGCTCTCCCATCTGTACCACTCCCCGGAGGAGGATGCTGAGATTCGTATCAATGTCTACCTGGCCCTGATGAGATGCCCCAGTGAAGAGGTGTTTGCTCAGGTGCGGCGCACCCAGGCAGGCGAGCTGTCCACCCAGGGTGAGCCATGGGTGTGTGTGTGGGAGGGGTGTGGGCAGGCAGGGGTGGGGGTGGTAGGGCACCTCCTGGAGAGTGCAGGGGGTTTGAGAGCATCCTCACCCTCCACTCCTCTGGCATCCTTCTGTCTTCTTGTCCCCCTCTTTCTCTACCATACTGTCTAGATGAGGGGCTGCGTATTCCTCCCTCCCCTACGTGGTAATTCCAGTCCCCATTCTGCTGCTGGATGACTTTGAAGAAGTTGCTTCTCCTCTCTGTTCCTCAGTTTCCTCATCTGTAAAATGGGATGGGAGTCAGGGTTCTGGCCAGATCATGACATGGTGTCCTAAAGAGAGACCTAACAAGAGGTACAGCATCTGCAAATCTCAGATCCCTTATGGAAGGAGATAGTTCCCTTTATACTAGCACCTGAACCCAAAGATGAAATTCAAAAAAATAAGTTCAACTGATTGTTTAAAAAAATTCCATAATATACAGTGGGGTGAGAGGTTGGAACCTGAGAGCCCAGGTTCAAATTCCAGCTTCACCACTTCCTTCCCGTATGCCTTGAGACAAGTAAGGAAACCTTCATGAGCCTCCATTTCTGTACCTATAAAATAGGGATAATGCTAGTACCTCCCTCATAGTGATGCAAGCATAAAATGAGTTAATACACAAAGGCATTTAGAACACATAGTAAGTGCCACATGTGTGACTGTTGCTTTTAATGTTGTTATCACTACTGCTGCTATTATTAATGCAGTATGGCTACATGGTCAAAATTTTAAAGCATAGGCAAAGGATAAATGAGAAAAATTAGTCTTCTTTCCTCTTCCCCCAATATCTTCCTGTGTCCTAAAGATACTCACTGTGAACCAGGTCCCCCATGGGACCTGATTCTGGTTTAGGCTGTTTCTGGTCTTTTGCCATCAGAACCATCACCAAATTCTCCTGTGTATCACATCAGAACTTGTAATACATAGAGGAACATACTCATTTATCTCTTTAACAACAGCATCTCAGGATCATGTTCTACTTGCTATTGTGCTCCTTGCCTTTTTTTTTTTTTTTTTTTTAAATGAGAAGCAACTTCTCATTTAAAAAAAAAAAAAAAAAAAAAAAGTCTCTGTCACCCAGGCTGGAGTGCAGTGGCACAATCTCGGTTCACTGCAACATCTACCTCCTGGGTTCAAGCAATTCCCCTGCTTCAGCCTCTTGAGTAGCCAGGATTACAGGCATATATCACCATGCCAGGCTAACTTGTATTTTTTTAATAGGGACGGTTTTGCCATATTGTCCAGGCTGGTCTGGAACTCCTGACCTCAGGTGATCCGCCCACCTTAGCCTCCCAAAGTGCTTGGGATGGCAGGTGATAGCCACTGGGCCCAGCCTGCTCCTTTCGGCTTTAACATGTCTGGGAGCTCATCTCTCATCTATGGCTCTTATATATTCTCATCTATGGCTGTGTGGGTGTTCTGCTGGATGTTTGTACCATATTCCATTTTACCAGTCTCCACTGGTAAAATGGCATTTAGGCTGTTTCTGGTCTTTTGCCATTAGAAACAATAGACACAAATCTTCCTGCACAGCTACCTTTGGCCCTTGAGTTAATCTCACTTGAGAATAATTTCCCAGAAGATAAGTTGCCAAGGCAAAGGGTATGCATGTTGAAAAGTCTGATGTCATGTTGTTGAATTACCTTCTGAAGAGATGGCACTATTCAAAGATACAGCTGTCTCTGTTGGCAGTTTCAGGCAAGGGGTATGATGTGTTTTACACCCCTCCTTGGGATCAGCCGAGGGGCTCAGCCCCCACAGTGGCCCAGGGGACCACCTGACATATCGCCCAGTGGGAATGAGTGGGCACCTTATCCCTAAAAACCTACATTCTGCTCTATTCTGTGATAGATTGTTCCAGAAGCCCCTGGCTGGACCTTCTGAGAGCCTGGGACAATGGCGAGGGTTGGGGGTTCCCTGTAGGACTCTAATATTCGCCATTGGACTCAGTCACATGAGGCTCTCATTTGGTCTTTATCCCTCCAGGGTCCCTCATGGATCACATGTCACACTTTACCAATCAATCCTGAGACATACTTAGTCTTCTAGGTCCAGGCTCTGCTTTGAACTGATCTTCCCAAAAAGCCCTGTGAGGTACTTTGTTAGTTCCTTTTTCAGATGAGAAAACTAAGGTTCTAAGAGCTGAAGTGACCATCTCAGGCAACACTGGTACATGGTGAAACCAGGATTTGAAATCAGGTCTGACTTGCCATTTTCATGGATGAGGACACCAAGGCTGAGAGAGACAGAGGGACCACCCCAAGGTATCTGTCGCCAGGCTGGAGAGAGAGGTGTTATCTTGGCTCACTGCAACCTCCACCTCCCAGGTTCAAGTGATTGTTCTGCCTCAGCCTCTCGAGTAGATGGGACTACAGGCATGTGCCACCACACCCAGCTAATTTTTGTATTTTTAGTAGAGACAGGGTTTCACCATGTTGGCCAGGTTGGTCTCGATCTCTTGACCTCGTGATCTGCCCACCTTGGCCTCCCATAGTGCTGGGATTACAGGCATGAGCCACTGCACCCAGCTCAGACTCAGGTCTGACTTTTGAGCCTGTAATACCTTCCTTTGTCTTGCGAAAAGTGTCAGAGTTCCATGCACGGGCTGAATTTCCAAGTTCTGTTCAGGCACGACTCTTCATTGCTGCTCTTTCTTGAGAGCAGACGTAGGTCTCCATAGGCAGGCTCCTGAGAAGACCGCGTGTGTGGGAATTGCAAGTCTGGGACGGGGGTCGGGAAGGCCTTTCCTCTGGACAGCATTCCTGGCACTTTCCTCATGGCCCCTCCCCGCTGATCACAACTCTATTCCAGTGGGTTCTTTTGTATGGAGTCACCTCCTGCAGCTGCTGGAGACACACGACCCCCTGAAACGAGCCCTCCGGGACACCCTCCCTGAGGACATCCTCAGCCAGGAGTTCCACCCAGAAATGTGGAAACACTCATCCTATTCTGATGTCACCTTCCACTCAGGTATGGCCATCCTGGCAGCCCCTGCCCTGGTCTGGGAACACAAAGGCTGAGGGACCCTGGAGCTCCAGCTCCCGACAGCATATGGATCAGACATTGTGTCAAAGGGTCAAATATTTACGTGCCAGTCAGGTGTGGTGGTTGAAACCCGAGCCCTTTGAGAGGCTAAGGCTGGAGGATTGCGTGAGCCCAGGAGGTCGAGTCTTCAGTGAGTCGTGATTGCACCACTGCACTCCAACCTCGGTGACAGAGTGAGACCCTGTCTTAAAAAAAAGTTACATGCTGCTTGTTCAAAAATTTGTTTTGCCATATTTCCATAGCACCTGCTGCTTTTGTTGGAAGAGAAAAGTCTTATCAATTATTTTATGGCATTCGACTGAATACTTTTATCTTTTCTTTAAATTGGCTCTTCGTAATTTATGTTAAAAAATTTATCACTACCATTAATAGAAAATCAGTTTAACTCCCCGTAAAGAGAAGGTACTCCTAAAAAGAAATACCGTACACCCACAAGTGAGTAATGAAACACAGCTTTTTTTTTTTCTGACATGGAGTCTCGCCCTGTTGCTCAGGCTGGAGTATAGTGGTGCGCTCCAGCTCACTGCAACCTCTGCCTCCCAGGGTCAAGCGATTCTCCTGCCTCAGCCTCTTGAATAGCTGGAACTGCAGGTATGCACCACCATGCCTGGCTAATTTTTGTGTTGTTATTAGTAGAGATGGGGTTTCACCATGCTGGCCCAGCTGGTCTCGAACCCCTGGCCTCAAGTGATCTGCCCACCTCAGCCTCCCAGAGTCCTGGAATTATGGGCGTGAGCCACTGCACCTGGTGGAAACACTATTTTTATTAAATTGTCCTGGATTCTGTGGCTTCCTGAAGGCTGTGAATTTTGAGAAGTATTTTTCCCTACTTGTTAAGAAGAGAGATTAGAGACTGCCTCTTTGTTGTAATTAAATAGAAAATCAAAAAGGGAATCTCTTGCTAGTTAAGTCCCCTAAGTCACCTCAGCTTTTCTGGGAAGCCTGGGGGTCAGGGGTCAGGTGCTCTGGGCACCTCCTCTCTGCCTGTCAGCAGAGGTGTGTGTGTGTGTGATCCTCTGTCCTGGCCTCCCTCTCTTCTTGCAGAGGCTTAAGGCTGTTTCCCATCTTGGCCAGGGAGGGGTGAGAAGATGCATCTGGTGTCTGACCTTGTGTCAGGGTATGGTCCCATGGTAGTAGCCAGACCCCACTCTGTGAGTATGCAGAATGTACTGATGTTTTTTCTTACTCCTAGTGTCTGGCAACCTGGGAGCCAACTTGGATGGGACTCTTCTCTCCTGTCTCCTTTCTTCCCCATTCTGCCACGGTCAACCTGACCATCCACATCATGGACCGTGCCTTCAACCTCCTGGAGGTTAGAGGGGAGCCTTGCTGCAGCCTCCATGGGGCCTCTCCTAGACTTAGGTCCAAAAAATATCTCAGTCACTTCACTGTCTGTCCATCTATCTCTTGCCTGCATTGTTCAATCCTCCCCTACGCCCTATATCTAGTCATCCACTCACCTACCCATAGATATATCCATACAGCTGTCAATTCACCCACCTGCCTTCCTCCCTCCCTCCCTCCCTTCCCTCCTTCCTCCCTCTATCCCTCCACCCTCCCTCCCTCCTTCCCATCCATCCCTCTGTCCATCCCTCTGTCCATTTCTCCTTCCATCCTTCTCCCTCCCTCTCCATCCCTCCCTCCATTCCTCCACCCATCCCTCCACCCTCCCTGCTTGCATTCCTCCCACCATCCCGCCCCCTCCCTCCCTCCCTCCCTCCATCTATTATTCATTCACCTGCTCATCTGTCCATCCACTCACATCCCTCCCATTCATCTCTCTCATCCATCTGCTCATTTACCCACCCACCTACCCATAATCTATCCATCCATCTGCTTACCCACTCATCATCCATTCACCCATCTACCCACCCATCATTCATCCACCTATCACTCATTCATCCACCCACCCACCCATCATCTATCCATCCATCATCCATCCATCTACCCACCCCCATCCATCTTCCCACCTATCATTCCTCCACCCACCTATCTATCCATCCATCTGTTCATTCATTCATCCATCTACCAAAGCACCCATCTATCACCCACCTACCTATCCATCCATCCATTCACTCATTCATCTTTCCACCCACCTACCCATCCATGCACATACCCACCCTCCCATCTGTCTGTCCATCCATCCATGTAATTTCCCATCTATCTCTCTGTCTACTGTCTCACCTACTCATCTATTCATCTGTTCTCCCACTCATCCATCTTTCATCCACCTAGCCATCCATGTCCACCAACATTCATCCCTCAGTCCATCCTCTGAGTCACACATCCATCCATTATCCATCCACCCACCAGTCATTGCCAAGAGCTGGACTCTGGTGACTTCCCTGCAAACGCTATCAGAGATGTCTGGATGGAAAGAGGAAAGAAAGAATAGATGGAAGGAAGAAGAGGTGTCCATAAGAAAGGAAAAGCAGATGGATGAATAGGCATTAAGGATGGATAGGACAAAGGATAGAAAAGATGAAAGGTGGCCAGGTGCGGTGGCTGACGCCTATAATCCCAGCACTTTGGGACGCTCAGGCAGGTGGATCACAAAGTCAGAAGTTCAAGACTAGCCTGGCCAAGATAGTGAAACCCTGTTTCATTTAAAAAATACAAAAAACTATCTGGGCATGGTGGCAGGAGCCTGTAATCCCAGCTACCAGGGAGACTAAGGCAGGAGAATTGCTTGAACCTGCACAGCAGAGGTTGCGGTGAGCCGCGATTGTGCCACTGCACTCCAACCTGGGTGATAGAGTGAGACTCCATCTCAAAAACAAAAAAAAAAAGAAAAAGAAAAGGTGGGTGGATAGATGGGAAGGACAAAAGTGTAGGTGAACAGAGGGGCACATGGATGAGCGGGTGGAAGACAGGAGGGACATAAGGAAGGATCCATTTATTCACCTATCAAATTTTGAGAACCGCCCAGGCCAAGTCAGGCAGGTATCTAGTGATTGAGACAAGAGTCCTTGCCCTCATCATGGATCTTTTGAGGGAAACACACTTTCCAGTCTGAGTATATTGTGTATGGGGCAGAGGAGGTAGGAAGAAAGTGACATGAGAGTTCAGGGGGGCTTCCCGGAGGTAGTGACATTTGACCCAAGCCTAAAATAGTCGGCAAGAATTTTTCCTGTGTGGCGTGTACCAAGTAGATACACAGAATGATGTATTTCCCAAGGTTGTGTCCCTGACCCTGAGTCCAGGTGGGCGCCAGGGAGCCTGGAGTGCCCTGCTCAAACCTTCTGGGTCTGTTATTCGTATCCCCAGTCTGACAGCTTGTCATCGCCCCTGTGATTGAATTGTTCCTTCCTGAGCCCCTGGCTTCTCTTCTCAGCTTGGGCTCTGGCTGGAAAATGCTGAGGAAATTGCTCGCAGGCTGTTTGGCAGGAACTCATTCTGGGGTCAGCAAGATGGAAGAGAGGCTCAGGCAGAGAAGCCCCCAGGACCAGAACATGGGCCTGCACCACGGCCAGCCAGCCCCAAGTGTCCAGGAGACAGAGCTAGAAGGATGAGAGACCTTCAGCAGAAGGTAAGGAAGGTGGCCACACCCATCCCACTCCACCAGGCAGGCCCACCCCACTTCATTCTTGGGCTTTTGAACCTGTTTGGGTATTTGTGAACTCTGACCCTGCCCACTCCTCACAGAACTAAGTGGCTGGTCCAGATCTGAATAGTCAGCTTGTAGTTGGCTTTATTTGGAAAAACTGTTGATTGAAATCGATTCTGTGCACAGGAAAGTCCCTGAATTGTAAGTGTACAGCTCTCCTGTCCACCATCTCAACACGCCCATGTCACCAGCTCGCAGACTATCTTTAGCCCCCAGCCTCCACCTTGACCCCTGTTCTTGTTAATACCCATCCTTAACCGGGGTACCACTCTTCTGACTTAAGGCCGCATCAATGAGTTCTACTTTTTAAAACTCAGCTTTGTTGAGGTCTAATTGGCACACGGTGAACAGTAGTACATGGTTAAGGTGTACAACTGGATACATTTCTGACCCATGTACATATTCAAGAAATCACCATGATAAAGCTTATGAACATACCTGTCACCCCAAGTCTCTTCCAGATCCTTAGTAATCCCTTCCTCCTGCTTCTCCTTGTCCCCAGAAACTAGTGAGAGGCTTTCTGTCACTGTAGACTCTCTTTTACTTTCTAGAATATTATGTAAATTAGATCACACATGTCTTCTTTTTTTTTCTCTCCTGGGGACAGTCTTACTCTGTCACCCAAGCTGGAATACAGTGGTATGATCTCAGCTCATTGCAACTTCTGCCTCCCTGCTCAAGCAGTCCTCCCACCTCAGCTTCCATAGTAGCTGGGACCATAGGCATGTGCTGTCATGCCTATCTAGTTTTTTAGAAAAACTTGTAGAGGTAGGGTCTCACTATGTTGTCCAGGCTGGTATCAATCTCTTGGGCTCAAGCGGTCCTCCTGCCTTGACCTCCCAAAATTCTGGGATTACAGGTGTGAGCCACTGCACCTGACCAACATGTCCTTTTTTAGAAAAGCAAATAATGTTTTTTTGTTTGGCTTCTTTTAGTCAGCATAATTTTTCTGAGACTTATCCATGCTGCAGGGTATAATGTGGTTTATTTCTTTTTATTGCTAAATGGTATTCCGTCGCATAGATATACCACAGTTTGTTTTTCCATTCACCTATTGACACTTAGTAGTTGTTTCCAAGGGTTGGCTATTAAAAATAAAGCTGCTATGAATTATTTATGTACAAGTCTTTGGGCATGTGCTTTTGTTTCTCTTGAATAACTAGTAGGTGTGGCTGGATCATATGGCGGGTGTATGTTTAATTTTTTCTGGAGCTGCTCAACAGTTCTTCCAAGTGGTTGTACTATTTTCGCATTCCCACCAGCAGTGTGCAAGAGTTCCAGTTTCTCCACACTCATCAACACTTGGTATGGTTAGACTTTTTAATTTTAGCCATTCCAATAGTGTGTAGTAGTATCATGGATTTAATTTGCATTTCCCTAATGACTGATGACATTGATCATCTTTTCGCATGCTCACATGCTATTGTATATCTTCTTTGGTGAAGTGTGCGCACAAATCTTTTGCTCATCTTATTTCGTTGAATTGTTTTCTTATTATTGAGTTTAGAGAATTCTTTCTATATTTCAGAGAAAAGTTGTTGTTTTTTTCTTTTTGTGACTTGGGGTCTGGTTCTTTCATCCGGGCTGGAGTGCAGTGGTGTGATCATACCTCACTGCAACCTTGACCTCCTGGGCTCAAATGGTCCTCCTGCCTCAGCCTCCTGAGTAGCTGGCACTACAGGTAGTCCAACCACACATGGCTAAGTTTTTTTCTCTTTTTGTAGAGATGGGGTCTCACTCTGTTGCCCAGGCTGGTCTTGAACTCCTGGCCTCAAGTGATCCTCCTGCCTCAGCCTCCCAAAGTGCTGGGATTACAGGTGTGACCCACCATACCTGACCAGAAACAAGTTCTTCATCAGATATGTAACTTGGAAATATTTTCTCCCAGTCTGTGGTGTCTCTTTTTGTTATCTTAATGTTGTCTTTCAAAAAATACCAGAAAGTCTTAATTTTGATGAAGTCAGGTTTAGTTTCTTTGATGGATAGTGCTTTTGCTGTTATAGCTCAGAAATTTTTGCCTGATGGGATGTTACTGAGATTCTCATAGGACCTTCTGTAGACCTCTGAGCGTGCTCTCTGTGCACTCTCTCCTCTCTGCTACCCTGCCCTGCGAAGCAGGGAATGGAGGCTGCCAGGGTCTCCCCAGACCCCCAGCTCCTCAGCTCAGGGAGTCCCCTGACAGCCTCCATTCCCCCTCCCTGTGCTGCAGCGTGGACACTCTCCGGGTAGGAAGCTGGGCTCACCTTGCTTGTTTTCATCTCTCGGGGTTCATCGTCTTGGGTGGCCTGATGTCTGTGTGTTGGGCCATCTGGTCCCCAGCTGCTCTATGTGGGAGGTTGAATCCAATCCAATATGGTTGGCAGTAGAAGTCACATCCAGTTTCTTTGTAAATTTTATATAAATAGAATCATTCACCTTGTACTCTTTTTTAAAGGAGATAAAATTCTCATGTAAAAATAAGCATTTTAAAGTGAATGATTGGCTGGGCACGGTGGCTCAGGTCTGTAATCCCTGAACTTTGGGAGGCCAAGATGAGTGGATAACTTGAGCTCAGGAGTTCAGGACTAGCCTGGTCAACATGGTGAAACCCTGTCTCTACGAAAAATACAAAAAAAATCACGAGGCATGGTGTTGCATGCCTGTAATCCCAGCTGTTTGTGAGCCTGAGACAGGAGAATCACTTGAACCTGGGAGGCAGAGGTTGCAATGAACCGAGATCGTGTTACTGCGCTCCAGCCTGGGTGACAGAGTGAGACTCCATCTCAGAAAAATAATAATAAAAATTGAAAATGAAGTGAACAATCCCGTGGTATTTACTACATTCACCGTGTTGTGCCACCAGCACCTCTGTCTGGTTCCAGAACATTTTCATCACCTGCAAAGGAAACCCTGTACCCATGAAAGAATCAGTCCCCAGCACTGCCTCTTCCTAGCCTCTCACAGCCACCAGTGTGCTTCCTGTCTCTGTGGACTTACCTAATTTGGACATTTCATACAAATGGAACCATAAAATCTGTGCCCTTTGTGTCTGACTTCTTTCTCTTAGCCTTGTGTTTTGGATGTTCACCCCATTGCAGCATAGCTCAGTACTGCATTCCTGTCTAAGTCCGAGTTCTATTTCAAACTGCCTGGATGTGCCACGTGTGTTCATCCATTCATCACTGATGGACATTTGGGTGGTTTCTGCGGTTGAGTGACTGAATAGTGCTGCTCCTGTACTCCTTTCTGTGCCTGACTTCTTAGGTTTAAAATTGGTGAGATTTCTCCATACTGCAGTGTGTACTTATAATTTGTTCATTTTCATAGCTGTGTAGTTTCCTTGTGTGACCATACAACAATTTGTGTACCCATGAGTTGCTGGCTATTACAGACAGTGCTATGAAGACTCTTAGGTCTTAGGGAATGTATGTATTCATACCTGTCGGGTGTATACACCTAGGAGTGAAATTGCTTAGTCTTAAGGTGTATGTATCTTTAGCCTGCTTTTTCTCTCTTTTTTTTTGAAATGGAGATTCGCTCTTGTTACCCAGGCTGGAGTGCAATGGCGCGATCTCGGCTCACTGCAACCTCCGCCTCCTGTGTTCAGGCAATTCTCCTGCCTGAGCCTCCCGAGTAGCTGGGATTACAGGCACGCGCCACCATGCCCAGCGAATTTTTTGTATTTTTAGTAGAGACGGGGTTTCACCATGTTGACCGGGATGGTCTCAATCTCTTGACCTCATGATCTACCCGCCTCGGCCTCCCAAAGTGCTGGGATTACAGGCTTGAGCCACCGCGCCAGCCCGCTTTTTCTCTTCTTATTATTTTTTGAGCATTTTCTTATTAGAAGCTCACCATACACAGATATGTTAATATTCATTCTATGGGTGGGGACCACAGCTGACATAATCATTTTCCCATCAATGGACTTTTAGATTATTGGCAACATTTTGCTCTTATAAAGTGTCATTGCCATGTATATCTGAGGTGACCAAGGTGGATGGCTGGGGCATTGGTTCAGTTTGTCACATGTTTCCTAACCACCAAGTGTAAACCTAGGGCCTGATCAGGACAGTAATCCCTGCTGTTAAAAGCATCTTGGACTAGGGGAGGCAAGAGGCTTGAAGGAGGGAGGTGGGCTAGATAGAAACAGGTTTTCTTAGGATGCACAATCCCCTTGTTCTGTTGTTTCTCACTTTTCCTAGAGACTCACATCCCGAGAAATACTCTGCATGAGCACAGCGATGAACGGCAGCAGATACTTGGCCTCAGTGTTGCAGAGACAATAGGGAGTGGTGGGGACTGTGGCAGACAGAGGAAGCCCATGCTCAGCTAAAGTGGCAGCCCCTGCTCAGCTCCAGCTCCTGTTGCCCCTTGTGGGGAGGGTGGGCCGCCCAATGTTTTTCTTCATAGAGAAGCCAGAGAGCTGTTTTATATAAGATCTTCCACTTTTGTTTAAAATTTCCCTATTTACAAATTCAACTTATAAAAAACATACATGGCATGAACAACAATCAAAGACTGAAAAACTGTCATAAACCAGAGACCAGGGAGACAACTATATGCTGTGGGGTTTGCTGGATTGAATCTTGGGATGGAAAGAGGACATTGGTGGGAAAACTGGTGAAATGTAAATGGCCCCTGGGGTTTAGTTACTAGAAACATACCAACACTGGTTGGTTAGTTTGCGCCATGCATCCTGGTGATGGAAGATGCCAACCACGCAGAAACCAGGGGTAGGGCGCATGGGAACTCTGTACCATCTTTGTAGACTGTCTTTGTTTTCCTGTTTTTCAGAGACAGGGTCTTGCTCTGTCTGTTGCCCAGGCAGGAGTGCCACGGCATGATCACAGTTCTCTGCAGCCTTGAACTCCTGGGCTTAAGTGATCCTCCACCTCAGCTTCCCAAGCATCTGGGAGGACAGGCGGGTACCACCATACCTGGCTATTATTTTTAATTATTATTTTTTATTTTGTAGAGACAGGGTCTCAAAATGCTATCCAGGCTCGTTTTAAACTCCTGGCCTCAAGCGATCTTCTTGTCTCACCCTCCCAAAGTGCTGGGAATAGAGGCATGAGCTACCACACCCAACCAGTTTTCAACTTTTCCATAAATCTAAAATTACACTCGTAGAACATTTATGAAAACATAAACACGCTCTCTCAGCATTGGGCACTACTGTGCAAGTCAGAGAAATCACATCTGGGGTTGGGATTTGGTTCATGCTCTAGGAGCTGGTTTTGCAAGCCTCATCTGGATCCCACAAGTTCTTGACCTTGCTCACCAGCCACCCCTTCCTCTCCCAAAGCACAGGCGCTTTGCTCTGTGTATTGGTTCGTTTTCACAGTGCTGATAAAGACACACCTGAGACTGGGCAATTGACAAAGAGATTAAATGGATTTACAGTTCCAACCGCCTGGGATGGCCTCAAAATCATGGCGGAAGGCAAGGAGGGGAAGTCACGTCTTACATGGATGGCAGCAGGCAAAGAAAGAGAGAGCTTGTGCAGAGTGACAGCCCCATTCACTGGGACTGGAACAGTATGGGAAAGACCCACCCCCATGATTCAGTCACCTCCCCTGGGCCCCTCCCCCAGCCTGTGGGAATTACGGGAGCTTCAAGATGAGATCTGGATAGGGACACAGCCAGCTGTATCACCCTGCTAATCCTGACCCTGTTCTTTGTGACCTGTCTTGGCTCTCCCGCAGGTGACCCAGAGGCGGGGGGTCCAGCAGCCTCTGCGATGCGAGCTGAGCATGAAGGTGCTGGGGCAGGAGCTGAGTTTTGTAAACTGTGGGGCCACAGGGAGTCAAGTGAAGCACCAGTCCCTGAGCCTGGCAGAGCTCGCCATCAAGCTCCTGAAGGTAGCTCCTGCCAGCCCCTGCCCTTGAAATCTGCACTGTGACACTTTGGCAAAGCACTTAAGAGCATGAAATTTGGAGCCAGGCTGTTGAAGGTCAAATCCCAGCTCTATTGCTTACCTCCTCGAACCTACTGATTGACTTACCATGGCCTTAGTTTCTGCATCTGTGAAATGGGCTAATAAAAAATAACAAAATAACTGCCTGGGCGAGGTGACTGATGCCTATAATCCCAATATTTTGGGAGGCTGACACCGGTGGATCACCTGAGGTCAGGAGTTCGAGACCAGCCTTGCCAACATGGCCAAACCCCATCTGAACTAAAAATATAAAAAGTAGCTGGTCACAGTGGCGGGCGTTTGTAGTCCCGGCTGCTTGGGAGGTGGAGGCAGGAGACTTGCTTGAACCCAGGAGGCAGCGGTTGCAGCGAGCTAAGGTTGCATCACTGCACTCCAGCCTGGGCAACAGAGCGACTCCATCTCAAGACAGAACAACAAAAAATGCAAAAGATCCATTCATAGAGCAGTTGTTTTAAAGGAGCTAAAATGGTGAAAATCCAACAGGGTTCCAGCTTCCCTGGTCTATACTAACTGACTGCAACCTTAGGATCCACGCTCCTCCCCACCTACTGAACCTGACCGTAACCTTTTCTCATAAGCAAACTGCCTGGGTTCAAACCTAGCTCCATCCCTTTGCAGTTACAGGCCTTGGTGGACCGTTTATCTTTGTGAACTCAGTTTCCTCATCTGGAAACTGGGATTACGTGCCCTTTGAGGACAAATGAAATCTCTTGTGCTCAGTACTCAGAGAGTGCCTGGCTCACAGCAGGGGTGGCCACGTGCCCCCTGATGGTTTCTCTCCCTCCCCTCCCCTCCCCCTCTTTCTTTCCTTTTTTTTTTTTTTGATGGAGTCTTACTCTGTTTCCGAGGCTGGAGTGCAGTGGCGTGATCTTGGCTCAACTGCGAGTTTCGTCTCCCGGGTTCAATCCATTCTTGTGCCTCAGCCTCCTGGGTAGTTGGAATTACTGGCACGTGCCACCATGCCAGCTAATTTTTGTATTTTCAGTTGAGATGGGGTTTTCCCCTCTTGGCCAGGCTGGTCTCCAACTCCGGGGCTTCAGTGATCCACCTGCCTTGGCCTCCCAAAATGCTGGATTACAGGTGTGAGCCACTGCGCCTGGCCCCGTTTATGATTTCTTGGCTGCAGGGGCAAGAGGTCCAGATTAACCGGAGGCTGAGCCTGGCCGCAGAGGAGCTGGTCTTTCCCACAGTGTCTGGCCTCCCTGCTCTGCTGACCCTAAACGCCTCGGCCGCTATCAGCATCCGGGTCCGAGGAGTCGCCGACTTCCAGCAGCGCTCGGATTTCTCTGTGAATGGTTATGTCAAGCCCAGGTAGCTGGCTCCTGGGACCTGGCTCAGGCTGGGGGCTGGGATCCCACTCCTAAAGAGGGCTGCAGTGACCTGGGGGCTGCAGAGGACATCCACACAGTCCAAGGGGATCCCTATTCTGTAGACCACCTGTGCCAAGAGACTGTGTGTAGAGATGCTGGGTGGTTACATCCACTTTACAGGTGAGAAGACTGAGGCTCAGAGAAGTCTGGTCATGGGTTCGAGGTTACACAGCAGTGCAAGGCGGCTGGTATTCTGGTCTAATGCCACAACTCTATGCCCTTCCATCCATCCCACCCAGAAGGCAGGAGAGGAGCTAGCCTTGACCTCACTGAATGGGTGCAACCCCCGACCCAGAAAGGCTGGTGCTTCTTACTCCCACTGACAGATGAGGAAACCAAGGTTCAAGGCGAGGATGCCAACAGCCTGGGGCACATGGCACCACAGTGCCCAAACAGAATATGTGCAATATTGGGTCTGATTCCAGAACCTGTCACGGCACTGCTGAGCATCTGTCCCCAGCCACTCAGCTGAGCTGTTCTGGGGTCCTGGGTCTGACATGCAGAACGTGGACGCCCTAGGCTAGGTGTTCTGTGGGGTGAAGAGCCTGGGCTGAGACTTAGACAGCTGGGGTTCAGGTGTCCCAGCCACATGCTTTGTCCCAGTCGTGGAACCCAGGCAGGTGCTGTCACCTCTCTGAGCCTCAGTTTCCCCATCTGTAAGAGGGATGAGTGCAGGTGAGGACTGAAAAGTGCTTGGTGTATGTAAAGCCTGTGGGTGAGGGTGGTGGTGGAGGGGGCTGCTCGGGCTCAGAACTTCAGGGGGCAGCTGGGGGTGGTGGGTGGCGTCTGTGGCTCCAGGGCCCTCGAGATGCAGCTGGTACGTGCCTGTTCCTCAGTGCCCTGCTCCAGATCTCGGCTCAGATGGGCACAACGGGAGCCTTGGGGCAGGCTGGGCTGCGGTGGGTGACCAGCGTCCGCAGCACCGCCAGCCTGGCTGGAGGGATCCAGCTGCAGAAGGGCCAGGACCTCAAGGTGCATCTGAACACGCCCGAGGAGGCTGTGGAGCTGCTCAGCTTCAGGTGGTGCCCTGTGCCAGCAAGCAGGGAACCATGAGCACGAGAGTGCATGTGAGCGTGTGTGCATGTGAGTGTGTGATCACATGTCTGTGCGCATGGAAGTGTGCATGGTGTGGATGTGACATTAGCACGCATGTGTGTTACAGCGTGTGCCCATGAGCCTGTATCTGTGAGCACACGTGATCAGGCATATGAGAGAGTATGAGCTGCTGTGTGCATGAGGGTGTGTCTGTGTGTCGGTGAGTGTGTCAGTGAGCAGCATTGTGGAAGTGGAGGTGTCTCGTGTCTGAGCATTTGTGGGAGTGCGTGTGCGTCCATGAGTGTGCATGTCTGTGACTGTAAAGGCTGGATGTGTCTATGACAGGGAATGTGGGCAGCCGAGGGGTGAGAGCTGGAGAACTTTCAGACTCTCAGCTCTTTCCTGGGGTCCCTTTAGGGCATGCTTGTCTGTGACACCTGGGGAGGTGACTCTTAGAGAGGGACAATTTCAGAGGGAGTGAGAGTGAGTCCAGGCTGACTCCTACCTGCATCCTTTGCCTTGCCCTGCCCACCTTCCTTATCCTTCCTCCCTCCTTCCCCCGTCCCTGCCCCTCTCTCACTGTCCGCCTCTATCCTGATACCCCGCAACCCAGCTGCCTTCCCATACTCCTAAAGCAGCCACCTCGTTCCTATCCCAGGGCCTTTGCTCCTGCTATGTCCTCTGTCTGGAACAGTGGCTCTTTCTCATCCTCTGGGCCTCTGCTCAAATGTCGCCTCTGCAGAGAACTCCCCCTGCTGCAGCTAGGGAGCGCCCACTCTGTCCCTGAGATAGCCTGTGCTGTGCTATTCTCCGTGTGGGCTTCTCACAGCACTTGTCACCGTCTGTGGTCCTGAGCCTCTGTCCCTGTGCCCATGGAGTATCACCCACCAGCGTGTGCACTGCCTGAAGGCTGGTCCCCTTCAGGGTAGAATTTGCCCCTGTGCCAAACTCTGGCAGCTTGAGGTGTTACTTGTCTAATGAATGAATTAAAATGACGCATCTGATGCTGTCATCTTTTCCCACCCAGCTCTCAGCTGTACGTCGTTACCAGGGATGGCGTGAGGAGCCTTAGACACATCTCTGTCCCTTCTGAGGCCCAGTCCTGTACTGGTGAGGAAGGTAGGCAGCGGGGTCTCCATGCTGTCTTCCCAAGGTGGGCATCCCGGGGTTGAAGGGAAAGTTGCCAGCTCCAGATCCCAGAGTTGCTCTCCTGCCCTAAAAATATTCATGTTCTGCAAACCAAAAAGTATCTCAGACAGGTCTCAATCAATTTCGAAGTTTAATTTGCCAAGGTTAAGGACATACCTGGCACGTCCCCAGGAACACACATCCACTGAACAATCTGTGTTCTGCGCCTTTTTCCAGAGATGATTCTGAAAGCTTCAATATTTATTTATTTTTATTTTTTATTTTAATTTTACTTTAAGTTCTGGGACACACGTGCAGAACATGTAGGCTTGTTACGTAGGTATATATGTGCCATGGTGGTTTGCTGCACCCATCACCCCGTCATCTAGGTTTTAAGCCCGGCATGCATTAGGTATTTTTCTAATGCTCTCCCTCCCTTGGTTTAAAGGAGAAAAGCCCTCTGGAGGGGAAGGAGGGAGGGTGTGGTCACGTGACTGAAGCCACAACCTGCAAGAGAAAAAGAGCAGGGAGGGGAAGAGTCACTTATGTATTCATCCTTGCTCAATAAATCAGCACTTTACATAAGATAAGGTGAACACAGAATAGCTGTGCAAATATTTAACCCTTTTATCTGTAGCTGCCTGCTTGTGAACAAAAGCGGAGGCAGCTGTTCGCATGACTCAGCTTCCAGCTGAATCTTTTCCTTTTGGCACCGTGAACTGGGATCCCGAGATCATCTTCCTTCTTTCTTCCTTCTCTTCTTCTTCCTCCTCCTCTCTTCTCTTTCTTCCTTTCTTTCTCTCTTTCTTCCTCCTCTTCTTCTCCTTCCTCCTCCTCCTCCTCCTCCATCTTCCTCTTCCATTTTTCTTCCTTCATTTTCCTTCTTCGTCCTTTTTTTCTTCTTCCTTCTTCTTATTCCATCTTCCTTCTTTCTTCTTCCTCTTTTTCTTTCTTCTTCTTGTCTTACTCTGTCACCCAGACCAGAGTGCAGACTCCATCTCCCAGGAAGAAAATTGAGCTGGACGGTGATGACAACGTCCCCTCCCTGCTCACCAGACCCCTCACTCGGTGCCACACCCAGGGCCTGGCACCTGCAGCAAGCTGGCTTGTGGGTCGGTCTGTGACCTCCTGAGATCAGCACTAAAGCCAGCTCCATTTTACAGATTCTGACTCAGAGATTAGAAAACGGGCAGGCGGTCCTCCCAAGGGGATGCAGGGGCCGGATTCAGAGGTGGAAACTTGTCTCTAAATTCTCGTTTCTCCTCCCCACCCAGGAAAGATGGAGGCTCTCGGGAGTGCCCGCATGGGTCACTTGGAGCTGGTTCTGGATGACAGGGATGTCTACTACATCAAGGTTTGTTCCACGCCCTTGGCCCATCTGTGTCTGCACCTGCCACCTCCCAGGGCATTTCCTGCACCATCCCAGGGACCCATTACCTATTGCCACTGCCCCTGGGATCTTCCCCTTCTCCCTGCCACTTAACAAGTGTTAATTCCTGTTATCCAGAAATAGATAAAGAAGAAAAATATGGGCTAAAATCCCACTGTCATTAATGTTAAAAATGAATGTTAATAATACAGAAACATGCTTTTAAGAATTCAGGGTGCAGTGTCTCACACCTGTAATCCCAGCATTTTGGGAGGCCAAAGTGGGTAGATCTCTGAAGTCAGGAGTTGGCCTAATGGTGAAATCCTGCCTGTAATAAAAATAAAAAAATTAGCTGGGTGTGGTGGTGGGTGCCTAGAATCCGAACCCCTCGGGAGGCTGAGGCAGAAGAATTGCTTGAAACTAGGAGGTGGGAGGTTTCAGTGAGCTTAGATTGTGCCCCTGTACACCAACCTGGGCAGCACAGCAAGATTCCATCTCAAAAACAACAATGAAAAAACGCAAGCTGGTCATGATGGCTTATACCTGTAATCCCAGAACTTTGGGAGGCTAAGGTGGGAGGATCACTTGAGGCTAGGCATTCAAGATGAACCTGGGCAACACAGCAAGACCCTGTCTCTACAAAAAATTTTTAAAAAATTAGCCAGGCAGAGTGGCATGTGCCTGTAGTCTCAGCAACTCAGGAGGCTGAGACAAGAGGATTGCTGGAGGCCAGGAGGTGGAGGCTGCAGTGAGTCACGCTTGTGCCACTGCACTCCAGCCTGGTGACAGTGAGACCCTGTCTGTCAAAAAAAGAATTCAGAGTAGAGAAATGTATGAGTTGTAAGTTCAAGCATGCCACATCCCAAATTTCCTTCAGAAGTGCGTGCCTATAATCCCAAGAACTCTGCATTCATTTCCCAGCGCTGCCTTAACAAAGTACCGTAAACTGTGTGGCTTCAACCACAGAGATTTATTCTCACAGTTCTGGAGGCCAGGAGTCTGAAATCCAGGGATTTTTGATTGTTTGTTTTTCCTGTGAAGGCTGTGAGGGAGGGTCTGTCCCAAGCTCCTGGATCCTCGGAGCCTCTAGAGTTACTCGGCTTGTAGGTGGTCTTCTCTCTCTGTCTTGACATTGTCTTCCCTTTGTAGGTGTCTTTGTCCACACATCCCCTTTTTATAAGGACACCAGGCACACGGCACTAGGATTCACCTTCATTACCTCAATCACATGTGAAGAGTCTATTTCCAAATAAGGTCGCATCCACAGACCCTGCAGCGTAGGGCTTCAGCGTCCTTCACAGAGACATGGGACAACGCGTAACACTATAGATTTGCAAATATTTTTAGTTTGAGTTTCTGGGTTTTATTTTTTCTTTTTCGCATCAGATGGGTGATGTGATGATGTAACAAGTTTTGAGGAAGGCACATATCATACAATAGCGTGGAAACCCAATCGTCATGCTTAGGCTTTGGTTTTTTAATTTTAATTTTTGTTTTTCTTGAGGCAGGGTCTTGCTGCATTACTCAGGCTGGAGGGCAGTGGTACAAACATGGCTCACTGCAGCCTCGACCTCCTGGGCTCCAGTGATCTTCCCACCTCAGCCTCCCAAAGTGCTAGAATTACAGGAATGAGCCACCACACCCAGTTAGTCCCTATTTTTTGTTTGTACCTTGCTCTTTTTACTCAAATATACACCTTTGCAGCTGGGCATGCTGGCTCACGCCTGTAATCCCAGCACTTTGGTAGGCCGAGGCAGGTGGATCACTTGAGGTGGAGTTCAAGGCGAGCCTGGCCAACATGGTGTAACGCCTTCTCTACTAAAAATACAAAGATGAGCTGGGTGTGGTGGTGCGTGCCTGTAATCCCAGTGACTTGGGAAACTGAGGCAGGAGAACCACTTGAACCCTGGAGGCAGAGGTTGCAGTGAGCCAAGTTCATACAACTGCACTCCAGACTGGGTGGCAAAGCGAGACTCTTTTTTTTTTTTTTTCCCCAGTGGGATGGGAGAATCACAAGGAATCAGGTGTTCAGAGGAATTATTGAGTAGAGGTGAGGAACTAGGATTTTGAAAAGTAAAAAAAGGAGAGAAGGAGAGGAAGAAAGAGGAAGAAAAAGAGGGAGAGAGAACAGGAATATTGCTTCATTCTAAAAATGGGTATTAATAATGGCCAATCAATATTTTGTGTATTTAAAATGGAGAACTCTATAAATATTTATTGGGTTTACTTGTTCCAGATCTGAATTGAAGTCCTGGATATCCTTATTAATTTTCTGTCTCGTTCAGTCTAAATCTTGTTATGGGTCTTATGTATCTGGGTATTAAGATCTCTTATTGTTGCATTGATCCTTTTACCACTGTATCTTTGTTGCTTTGAAATCTATTTTATCAAATGTGAGAATTGCAACTCCTGCTTTTTGTTTGTTTATTTATTTTTGCTCTCCCTTTGGTTGGTAAATTTTTCTCCAACCCTTTGTTTTGAGTCTTTGTGTATCTTTGGATATACCGTTAGGTTTTGGCTGTATCTTTTGATTGGGGGATTTAGTCGATTTAAATTTAGGGTTACTGCCATTTGATGTTAACTGGCTATTTTATCCATTCGTTGATGTAAATTCTTCTTTATGTTGATGCTCTTTACTTTTTGGTCTATTTTTAGAAAGGCTCATACTGGTTGTTTCTTTCTATGTATAAGGTTTCTTTCAGAAGTTCTTGTAAAGCAGGCCTGGTGGTAATAAAAACCTCTGAGTACTTGCTTGTTCATAAAAGATTTTATTTTTCCTTCAGTTGTGAAGCTTAGTTTGGCTGGATATGAGATTCTAGGCTGAAAGTTCTGTTCTTTAAGTATGTTGAATATTGGCCCCCACTCTCTTCTGGCTTGTAGGGTTTCCGCTGAGAGATCTGCTGTAAGTCTAATAGGCTTCCCTTTACGGGTAACCTGGCCTTTCTCTCTGGCTGCCCTTAGTATTTTCTCCTTTGTTTCGATCCTGGTGAATCTAACGATTATGTGCCTTGGGGTTGCTCTTCTTGAGGAATATCTTTGTGGTGTTCTCTGTATTACCTGGGGTTGAATAGTGTCCTGATTTGCTAGATTGGGAAAATTTTCCTGTATAATATCCTGAAAAGTATTTTTCAGCTTGGATTCATTCTCTCCATCACATTGAGGTACACCAATCAAACGTAGATTGGGTCTTTTCACATAGTTCCATATTTCTTGGAGACTTTGCTCATTCCTTTTCATCCTTTTTTCTCTATTCTTGTCTTGTCATTTTATTTCATTAAGTTAGTCTTCGACCTCTGTTATCCTTTCTTCTGCTTGATCCGTTCTGCTATTTAAACTTGTGCATATTTCACTAAGTTCTCGTGTTGTATTTTTCAACTCCTTTAGTTCATTTATATTCCTCTCTATATTGTCTATTCTTTTCAGCAGTTTGTCAAACCTTTTTTCAAAGTTCTTAGTTTCTTTACATTGGATTAGAGACTCTTAAAAAAAAAAAAAATATATATATATATATATATATACACACACACACACACACACACACACACACACACATCCCTTGGGAATCTTTTTATACAAGCACACACTGGTACAATTTAAATTCCATTGCAGATTTCATTTAGGTTAATTCAATCTAAATACTATTCTATTAAGTTCTACAATTTAAAAAAAGGCCATGCATTTAAATGATTCAACGTTCAAAAGCTATGAAAGAGCATAGAATTGAGTGTCTCTATGGCAGCCAGTGGCGTATGTGTTTATTGAAATCTGAGTGCGGCCAGGTATGGTAGCTCACGCCTATAATCCCAGCACTTTGGGAGGCCGAGTCAGGTGGCTCACCTGAGGTCAGGAGTTTGAGAGCAGCCTGACCAACATGGTGAAACCCCATATCTACTAAAAGCACAAAAAGTAGCCGGATGTGGTGGTGAGCCCCTGTAACCCTATCTACTTGGGAAGCTGAGGTAGGAGAACTGCTTGAACCTGGGGGACAGAGGTTGCGGTGAGCCAAGATCATGCAGCTTCATTCCAGCCTGGACAACGGAGCGAGACTCCATCTCAAAAAAGAAAAAAAAATCTAAGTGAATTAACATGAAAGAAAATGAAGGATTTGGTTCTTTGGCTGCACGGGCCACATTTCAGGTGCTCCACAGCTGCAGGTGGCCGGGAAACATGGTCCTCATTGCAGAAAGTTCTATTGGTTGGTGCTGGTGCAGCTTAAAAGCCGCTCTCCCACCCCTCCTGAAAGCCAACCGCTGTTAGGGTTGTTTTGGTGATTCTTTTCCGAGATGATCTGTGCACACAATCAGCACGTGGAATTAATATATCCACCTAAAAAAATCAGTGTCTCCCGTGTAGTGCGAATGACCACGTAATAGTCCATGGAATGGAATGCATTCAGCTAGTTTCATAATGAAGTGCTCTGGAGTTTTTCCCAGGTTTCCTCGCTCACAGCTCTTCTGTGGTGAATGTCATTTTCTCTGCAGAGTAAATTCTTAGCAGTGGAATTCCCTGGCCACAAGGTTTATGTGTTTTTTTCATTTCTTTCCTCTTTTCTTCCTTTCTTTTTTCTTTCCCTTCCTTTCTCTCCCTCCCTCTATTCCCTCTTTTCCTCTTCCTGCCTCTTTCCCTCCCTTCCCCCATGTCTTTCCCCCCCCCCTTCCCCCTGGCTTTTCTGTCTCCCCCACTTTTCTCTTTCTTTTACAAGGTTTTCTATGCAATGGCATGATCCTAGGTCACTGCAGCCTCAAACCCCTGGGCTCAAGCGATCCTCCTGCCTCAGCCTCCCCGGTAGCTGGGACCATGGTCTGTATCACCATGCCTTTCTATTTTATTTTTTTTTCTTTTCTTCTCTTTTTTTTTTTTGTGGAGATTGGTCTTACTGTGTTGTCCAGGTTCATTTTCATCTTAGTAGGTGCTTTTCGAAGGATCTTACCCCAGGGTACCTGGATGGAACTTAGTGAGTCACTTGAAGCCCTTGTCATTGTGGT